TATAGATATTTGAAAATTTTCATGGGCTCTAACCCACAGTTATTGTCTACTTTCATTTGTTTCGACCTAAAAGAAATCATGTGCATCTCAAAATTCATGATTTCACAGACAACCCATGGTTTCTATTCAATTTTGTTCTTTGACCCAATGGCACTTAAATATTGGTAATTTAGAATTTGCGATTTCATGAGTAACCTAGGTTTTTTGTTCATTTTTTGTTGTTTGACCAAATAGCACCTAAATATTGTTAATTCAAAAATTGTGATTTATAGGCCATAACTAGCGATATTTGTTCATTTTTAGTTTGTTACAATCAAATGATAATTACATATGCACACTTCAAAATTAATGTTTTTCATAGGCTATAAACCATCAATTTTGTTCGTTTTGAACCAATGGTAATTTAGCATGTCTACTTTAAAATTCATGATTTTCATAGACTATAAACACAATACTGTCTATTTTCGTTCATTATGACTCAATGGAAATTAAGTCTACATACAAAATTAAATTGACGATTTTTTTGTCCGGAACATCGCGCAGGTCTTCGGATGGACCTGTATTTTTATTGATTAAAGAGGGAAAAGAAAAAAATACAAGGAGGGAGCCGAGGGGCATACAACTTGATCCCAATTAATAGAAGTCTACCCCAAAAAGAAATAAAAAAGAACACAAGGGACTCTCCCCTTATACAAGGCTTCAAAGAAAATTCATCTTATCCTAATAGAAAGTAAACCTATCTGATCAAGACTTGCCAATCCCCTACAAGTAAGAGATAATTCTCTTATATCTTCTACTAATAGATCACCATGAGAAATACTCACATTAGCCAATCCATCAACGACCTTGTTAGCCTCTCTGAAGCAATGAGCAAATGAATGGTTAACTCCTTCAAGCAATTTTCACATATTTTTAATGATGTACCAAATGGAAAAATGAGTCATAACTTTTTTGAGAATATCAAGTAGAATTTTAGAGTCCATCTCTATCACAATGTCATTTAAATCACTTTGAATGCATATTACCCCCGTGATATAAAGCCACAGCTTGTCTTCATATTGCACCCATGCTGAAATTTTTTGTAGAATGCGGCAAGACACGAACCTAAAGCATCTCTAATTATCCCTCCTCCCCCCATACCTCCTGGGTTAATTTTGTAGCTACCATCAGTGTTCAATTTGAACCATCCCAAAGGAGGTCTTTCCCACTTAATAATTGAGATTCGAACAGGTCTTTGTTGATGATAGATAGAGTTAACATATAGAGAATGATAAGTGATCTATGTCTGTCCTTTTAATTTTGCTACTTCACTCAAATTCATAATCAGTTTCTTAATTCAATGAACCACTTGAGTAACAGAGTTTCTTTCCCTCAAATATCACAATGTTCCTTGCCTTCCATATTTCCCATAAGATTATACTTGGAGTAATATTGCATATTAGGCTTTTTGCTTCTTTGATATTGCCATGAGACCACCATTGCAAACATCTTTGATGGATCAAGTTGTGTTCCAATTTAATACCTGCTTCTTTACCAAATAAAGGCTAGATTTGTTTTGCCCAATCACTCTCCAAAAACACATGATTCAAATCTTCAATTTGACTATGATGACATCATACACACTTAGAAGCAATTTTGAATTCCTCTCTTCTGAATAATTTTATCCACTGGAATGCCTTGCTTAATAAATTATCACATAAAGATGGATATTTTTAGGGGCATGTATTTATGCCAAATGTATTTGGCATTAATAACAGCACTTTTTATATTTCTAACCTTCTTTATTGCTGATAAGAGAGAAAATTTTCCATTAGAGTTTAAATTCCATTATCTTCCACAAGTTCACATCTTCTTGATCTCCTACTGGTGCACTTTTGGAAGAGTTTATATCCTCTTCTAAATCCTCATCCTTTTCAATCTCTTCCATTTCATAGTAAAGGGCTTGGAATTTATTGCGAACTAGAGTTTAAACAAGTTTATCCACCACATCCTCATTGTTGCTATTGGAATTTACTTCATCCTCATGCATATCATTTTGTTCTCTATCAATTAGCATTTCTCCCTCTTCAATGTCTTTGCAATATCCATATGCTCTGTTTCTTTACTAACTTCTAATCCCATGGAAATTTATCATTTGCCTCTTCTATTATAGTTGAGCCTTTCTCTTTATTGAGATCACCTACACCATCCTAGCCACTTCATTCCACAGTGGTCCTCTGATGTAGTAACATTTCCAATGGGAAGATACTGTTGTCTTGGCCTCTCTCTGTTAACCTTTCTCTTCTCATTATCAAAGTCATTCTGATCCTTTCCTTGTTGCTTGACTCCTTGATGTTTAATATCCTCGCTTGAATTGAAATGTAAGATCTTACAAATTTTTCATTATGCCCCTGTATCATACAATAATCGCAATAGGAGGGAAGGTTTTTTTTTTCATATTCATTTGGTTGCCAAAATCCATCCTTACCATCCTTATCACAACCAATCCGAACCCTATGTGGCAGAGGATTTAAAAGATCAACTTCCACACATACGCGAGCAACATTTGGCCAAGAAATAGTCACTGTTTCTGCATCCAAATGAAGCAAATTTCCAATTGTTCTGGCTAGAGAAAACAAAAAAGATTTATCTAAGAAGTGCACTGGCAAAGCCTTTAAAGAAATCCACACAGGAGCAACAGCCGATTCTTGATCCATTTGAAAAGCCGGAGACCATTAAAAACTCTCATGGGGTATCTCTTGAAATACCATACATCTTTTAACCAGATTCAATGATAATCTTGCTCATAAGAAAGCCTGATAAGAATATGTTTCGCATCCAGAACCCTGTTGTAAATGGCAACTTCAAAGACAAGGTTACAAAAACCTTATGAATCTCCTCAATGGCTAAACATCCATGTGAGAATTTTCCAATCAGAAAGAAGTAAAGGCTCAGCAAGGCATGTTTCATGCTCTGAAGGAAGGAACGAAGCAGGTTCTCCTTTGAAAGAAGAACATAACATGGGCAATGAAGGTGAAGATGAGGAAGAAGAAAGGATGGAGGCAAAAGTTTTCAGAGGAGATGAAGGCGTAGAGGATTGGAGATTAGAAGGTGGAACCCCAGGAGAGGGATCAGATGGCAAAGCTGCATGAGCAGCTATGCTCAATGGAACCCTAGAGCAAGCCCTTAGCCTAGTTAACGATTTTCATCGGCTATAACACAAGATTTTCATAAGCTATAACACACAATATTTGTCTATTTTGTCTACAAATAAAATATTTTCATAAACTATAACACAATATTTACCTATTTTCGTTCAATATGACCCAAAGAAAATTAAGTTTACATCGAAATTCGCGATTTTCATGAGACCATGAGCTTTTATTATTTTAAATTGTTTCAATCCGATGACGATTATATATGTTTACTTCAAAATACACGACTTCCACAGGCCAACTCACGATTTTTGCCCATTTACGTTCGTTTCAACCCTATGACAATTAAATATGTTTACTCCGAAATTCGTGATTTTCATGACACACAAGATTTATCCATTTCCTAGAGCAATCAAGTATACTTGCTTTAAAATTTCGCGATTTTCATAGGGTTTTACTCATGATGTTTTTCCCTTTTTTTTGTTTCAACCCAATGAATATTAACTATAGGTATTTCAACATGTTGCCATTTTCATGAATTATAATCTACGAATTTTATCTATTTTCCATTGTTTAGACCCGATGATAATTAAGTATGAGCACTTCCAAATTCACGATTTTTCTGCTATAAGCAATATTTTTGTCAATTTTCCGTTCATCTCAACCCCATGACAACGTGTACTCTAAAATTTCATGAGCTATGACTAACTATTTTTGTCCATTTTCATTCTTTTTGACCCAATGGAAATTAAGAAAACTTTAAAATTTGTGATTTCATAGTTTATGAGACATGATTTTTATCATTTTTTTGTTCACTTAAACCCAGTTGAAATGAATGTAACTACTTCATAAGTTTATAAACCAACATTTTAGTTCCATTTTAGTTCATTTCAACCAATGAAAATTAAGTATGCATATTTCATACTTCGCAACAATTTTGACCATTTTCAATTATTTCGACCCAATGATAATAATGTGTGAGTACTTTAAAATTCACAGTTTTCATGGACTATAATTCACAATTTGTTTTTATTGTTTTCGCTTATTTTGACCCAGTGGCAATTAAATGTGCACTTAAAAATTCACCATTTTCTTGGACTAATCCATCATTTTTGTCCATTTTTGTTGTCTAATCCAATGACAATCAAGTTCACGTATTTCTAAAATTCCTAATTTCATAGGGTATAAACCATGATTTCTGTTTGTTTTGTTCGTTTCAATCCCAAGACAATTATTGGTAATTCCAGATTCAAGGTTTCTATGAGTTGTAACCTATATTTTTGTTCATATTTTACCGATCTGACCCTATGGCAATTAGGTTTGCATACTTCAAATTATGAGCTATAACCCACGTTTTTTGTTCATTTAATTTTGCGCTAATCTAATTCGGATCAAACATTAGAATCCCGATGTTACCACTTTGGCTTTGCACCCAGGCAAACAACATGATGTTAGCATCCGCCTGTGTTGCTCGCTTGCGAATTGGAAGGCGAGGTTGCCTCTAATACCATCAGAAGGGACCAACGAGAACTCACCTAAAAGCTAAAGATAGTTGTTAAACAGAGGGAACACAAATCCCTTGCAACTCCACAATTGAGTCCAATTTAGAAGTCAATTTATTTAATATGCAACTAAAGGACCTAACATCTTCCGCAGCTCTAAACAAGTCACAGATCCCTCCCTTGGCATCAAAATGTTAAACTCAGACCTTTTTTTTTTTATCAAAGTCCTAATTTCAAACCCAACCACAAACAAGTGAACAACAATCAACAAACAACATCAAAATCAAAACCCCCTCTTCCCACAACCTGAATTCAATAAACAGCAACAATATCGAAAACCCTAGAAATGAAAATTTGCGTTTACCTCCGGATCTTATTCCCCTTGCCAACCTGGTACATTCCCCAGGAGAAGGCGCCAAACGCAGCCAAGAAGATCGCGACGGCGCTAGGTCCCTTCGTCGGAATCCGGCGAGCGTAGCGCACCGGCGCGAAGCCGCCAAGTGGTCGTCCATCCTGGAGAACCGGCATCTCCTTCACGCTCGTCATCTCCGGCTTCTTGCGGATCATCCCCATCTGTCTCCTGGAGAACCGCAAAGATCTGATTGTGT